GCCAGCCGTCTGGTTAGCAGGCAAGTGTCTTAGCCACTATGCTACCAGAGCTCCCTTTCTTATCATACCATCCCAAATTGAGATTCATTTGGACTACCATAGGAATCAGAATCAACTTGATAGCACCTAATAACAACAACAAAAACAGGCCAATATGAGGGATATAAACTCTATACAAACTGAAATTTCTTTATAAATTTTAACATTCCTATGGTAGTCCAAATGAATCTCAATTTGGGATGGTATGATAAGAAATCCCAAATTGAGATTCATTTGGACTACCATAGGAATGTTGAAATGTATAAAGAAATTTCAGTTTGTATAGAGTTTATATCCCTCATATTGTCCTGTTTTTGTTGTTGTTATTAGGTGCTATCAAGTTGATTCTGACTCAAAGTCATGCCATGTGACAGAGAACTGGCTATTGTCTTTACAGAAGCCGATCGCTAGATCTGTCTCCCATGAAGCCACTAGGGGCAGGGGGTGGGGGCTTCCAATTGACCATCAGCACCATCAGGGCTTTAATAGTAAAGTATGTTCATAGCTATTTGTACAATAGTGATGTCAGAATGGTTGTATTTTATGTAGCATACTGGAAGAACTCATTTTTGTGCAGAAGAAAACATGGCATACTATGACATAGTACTAGAGACTACTTAGAACTGACCTGATCTAACTAATATTAGTTTTACAGTATTATACCATCTTATATAAACCAGCTCTACTATGTGACTCAGCTTCTGCTGATTAAATCACCAAAAGATGTTAATAAATTTGAAAGCTCACCAAAATAAAGTCATACTGGGAAAATCATCATAGCTACAGTAAAGATGAGCTGCAAGGTAGAATTTCTTTAGTAAAATGATTAGGAATGTACTATTTGTTTGGGTCCTTGGGTAGTGCAAACAGTTTGTACTTGGCTACTAACCAAAAGGTTGGCAGTTCGGACCCATCCAGTGGCACTACAGAAGAAAGGCCTGCTGATTTGTTTCCATAAAAATACAGCCAAATAACATACTACACAAAACATTGTTCTACCTCCTACTTTGGTGAGTAGCGACTGGGATCGTAAAAGCTTGCAAGCTGCCATCTAGATGCAACGAGGAGTCTCTCCTCATCCAGAGCAAAGAAGAATGAAGAAAACCAAAGATTCATGGAAACAATTAGTCCTGGCGACTGGTACACCATGTGATTCACAGCCTGTATGACTATGAGACCAAAAGAACTAGATGGTGCCTGGCTACCACTGTTAACCACTCAGAGGGAGATCTCTGTAGGAGATCCTGGATAGAGAGGGAGAACAATGTGGAACAAAACTCAGAATCATTTGGAGTAAAAAGAGGTGGGGGGGGGGGTCCAGGTTTGCTGGTCCAATAGAGCTTGGTGGAACCACTGAGACTATGGCCCCTAGCTGCCCTTCAGGTCTGGAATTGAACCCACACCTGTGGCTACCAGCCAAACAAACTACAGGCATAGGAGTTGAACATTTACCTGAGGTAGATACACTCCTTGGAGAGAACAATCATGGGAGAAAGAAGGGCTATTTATGCACAGGGAGACAGCTCGGGGCAGGAGTGCATGGAGGGATGGACACAGGGAAGAGGTACCTATTGGGAGGAAGTGGGAGGGAAACTGTTGCATTGGGGTAAATTGCAGTCAATGTCATGAGACAAAGTGTATGTGAACTGCTGTGTGTAAAGTGAATTTGCTCTGTAAATTTTCACCCAAATCATAATAAAAAAGGAAAAAAATACAGCTGAGAAAATGCTATGGAGCAGTTCTACTCTATAATATATGGAATTACCATGAGTCAGAATCAGCTCGATGACAGTAGGTTTGGTTTTTTTCAGTTATTGTTTGTACATTCATTCAACAAATGTGTATTGATTCCCTACAGTGGGTCAGACATAATGCTAAGTACTAGAGACATAGATACATTGCTAGTATCCCAGCTACTGTTCCAGCCCCTTCAGTGCTTAGAATATAGTAGGGAAGGTGGGTTTTCAGCAAACAATCACACAAATATATGTGATTACAGATACAGTCTGTGGTATATGATATAAGTTATAGGATCCCATAAAAACATAATCAGGGGATTAAACTAATCTCTGGGTTGAGAAAGCTGAGTCAAGATTTGAAAGGAGTGTAGAGTTAACTCGGAGGAGGAGTAATACTCACCGCTCATCTGTCAGCTTGTCAAACTGTGGTTGACTTGTGTGTTGCTGTGATGCTGGAAGCTATGCCCCCCAGTATTTCAAATACCACCAGGGTCACCTTTGAGGGACAGGTTTCAGCAGAGCTTTGAGGCTAAGACAGACTAAGAAAAAGGACTTGGCAATCTACTTCTAAACAAATTGACCAGTGAGAACTTCATGGGAAGCAGCAGACTGTATCTAATATGGTGCCAAAAGATGAGCCCCTCAGGTCAGAAGGCACTCAAAATATGATCAGGGAAGACATACTTCCTCATGACCTTAATGACATGGATGGAGTAAAGCTTTGAGAACCTTCATTTGTTGATGTGGCACGAAATGAGAAGAAACAGCTGCAAACATTCATTAATAATCAGAACATGGAATGTAAGAAGTATGAATCGAGGAAAATTAGAAGTCATCAAAATAAATTGAAATGCATAAAGATCAATATCCTAGGCATTAGTGAGCTGAAATGGACTGTTATTGGCCATTTTGAATTGTCTGGAAATGGCAAATTGAAGAGGAATGACATCACATTCATCATCAAAAAGAACATTACAAGATCTAGCCTGAAGTACGGTGCTATCAGTGACCATACCATGCAAGAAAGACCAACTATTATGACTGTTACTCAGATTTATACACCAACTAGTAATGCTAAAGATGAAGAAATTGAAGATTTTTACCAACTTCTGCAGTCTAAAATTAATCAAACATGCAATCAAGATGTATTTGTAATTACTGGTGATTAGAATGGGAAAGCTGGAAACAAAGAAGGATTGGTAGTTAGAAAATACAGGCTTGGCAGTGGAAACAACAGCAATCACATGATAGAATTGTTCAAGACCAATGACTTATTCATTGCAAATAACTTTTTTCAGCAATGTAAGAAGCAACTATCTGTGTGGACCTCACCTGATGGGATACACAGCAATCAAATGGACTACATCTCTGGAAAGGTACAATGGAGAAGCTCAGTGTCATTGGTCAGAACAAGGTCAGGGGCTGACTGTAGAAAAGACCACCAGTTACTCATAGTACAAGTTCAAATAGTAGCTGAAGAAAATTAAAACAAGTCCACAAGAGCAAAATTACAACCTTGAGTATATCTCACCTAAATTTAGAAACCATCTGAAGATTTGACGGATTGAACACTAATGTCTGAAGATCAGACAAATTGTGGGAAGATATCAAAGACATCATGTATGAAGATGTCCTTGATATCTCCCCACATCTTGAAAGCAAAAGGTCGTTAAAAAGTCAGGGAAGGAGGAAAATACTGAAATGGATGTCAGAACAGACTCTTAAATGGGAAAGTAGGTGAAGTAAATGTAAAAATGATGATGTAAAAGGGTAAAAGTAAAAGAGTTGAACGAAGATTTTAAAGGTTGGCACAAGAAGACAAAGTAAA